TGCAATAATAAAAACTGTGGTGTTTCCTCGTGCTTCAAGCAGTTTGCTTGCTTGCACTTTGCGTTCTCAGTGGCTAATGATAATGAAAAGCTTTGTTCTGATTGGTTCAGATATTTCGCGCCATCTTTTTAACCACTCAGATGCAAAACTAAAAACTGTGGCGTTTCGCTTGCTAGCACTTTGAGTTCTCATTGGCTACACAGGACGAAATCACATGTTTCCGTATTTCTGAAACGTGGCGGAAACATGCAACTCCATGTTTCCGTTATGTTTAACATGAACAAAAAGTGGTCCGGTTCCGTTGTATAAGCAGCAACGGAAACGTGAGAAAACGTCACGAAACCGGTAACGGAAACACAGGTTATCCGTCGTGTTTCTAGAACCGTTTAACATGTTTCTGCCACGTTTCCGTTTACGGATTCTTGCAATTTCGTCCTGTGCTAATGATAATGAAAACCTTTGCTCTGTTTGGTCCAGATATTTTTCGCCATCGTTTAAACCAATCAGATGCAAAATAAAAACGGTGGTGTTTTGCGTGCTTGCACTTTGAGTTCTCATTAGCAAATGATAATGCGAATCTTTTTTCTGATTGGTCACTGAGATTTCTGTAGTTTTGGTTTTTCGAAACCCGATGAAAACTGGTCCATTAGGCTCAAGTGTTTTTGCGGAACAAGTGACTTGTTACAGTTACCTATTAAAAGTGATTCCAAGTAGACGAAAAAACTGCAGTGTTCCAAACGAATGGTCAACTCGAATTCTTTTTCTGTTGCAGGAGGTCCAGCACAAGGTGTTGAGGTATTTTAGACTGAAGCCCAAAGTCAACAGTCTAAGAGAAGTTTACGGGGTAAGTTTTCTTACGTGGTGTGATTAACCCTTTAACTCACATAACTGTGACCAAGACAAAATTTCTCCTTACAATATCAATACATAATCAACTAGGCAAGTGAGGAGAACGAATAAAAATTATTAATAACAGGATTATTAATTGATCCAATACCAAATTCTCCGATCTAACATCTTGAGAATTGTATGGAAGAATATAGGGAGAGTTATTATTGAGGTCTTGGAAGTGAAAAGGATAAAGTCACAAGACACGTAAAAGCAGGAGAACGTATAAGAAAGATGCTCTTGCATTTGCTCTACAATATTAAGTAGCATGTCTTCCGCGAGCCGCAAAACCGTGATCGTGTAACCTTTGCTGGGTTATTTCTGTTTGGGTGTGGAATTTTTTTTTTAGTTTTAATTGCTCAACCCTTTTTGAAAAAAAGGCGATACTAACTTCACCAAAATGATTCACTTTTCAGACTCTCCTCCAGCAAGAGTCTTATCTGAAGGATCAATTGAGTGTTTACAAAGGTTTGTTTTCTTTCAAATATGAAATATGAAATTTTCTGTTTAAAATTAATCTCTCTTTCTCTTTTTGTTTTTTGGTTGTAGAATATTTGGCTGCAGTAAGAGCCAAGGCGGTCACGGGTTCATCAAAGGTAACTGCGGTCATTTCATATCCTCTGTCTCTCCTTCGTAAACAAATCAAGGTTTCATAAATTGTTAGAAACTTGTAGCTCGATAAACGACAAAAAATCTATTGTATTGCTTCCAAGCGCATCGTACGGTCACTTGTTATGACTTCCTCACCAAAGTTTGTTTATAATACCCCTCCTCAAAACCAACATTAACCCTACCTTGTTATCAGTTGACTGTTGTTGGGTAAGGGAAGGGCAAGTGCGCTGTTGCTTAGCTGCTGACATTGATCCAAATTTTTAGCCACGTGGCGCGGCATCATAAACCAGTAGCATGTGAAAGCACTTATGGACTTTATTGCAAGTCGTGCACCATTGCGGCTTTCATAGAAATGCTACTGTGGAGTTACTCTGACAGTAGATAGTTAAGTTATTTTGCGAGCTTAGTACGATAGGCATAACTTCTTTGTCCTGCAATGGTTTTAGCAAGAAGACGACGACATCTTGGTAGATAAATTGAAGCTGCATTTTTGCTGTGTGTCTTATGTATTCTAGAGAGAGGTGAATTATGGGTATGCCTCGGAAAGTGGTAACGCTCCTGTTAGCTTCAGTTACAGTCAGCTAGAAAAGGAAGGAGTGGCTGTAGAAGGTCAAAAATTTCCCGATAAGAGGTATGGTTCATTGACGTTGATATAATTTAATGATGCACGGCCGTCATACGTTAGACATGCGCAAATGGATCAATTTTGGCCGGCTGCGCACCAATTTCTCGCGGAAGGAATGACAAGAAATACAAGGGACAACCAGTATCGCGCAAGATTCTTGCTAAAATGAAACCTTCCCGGAAATCTGTGAAAGGGAAAGAAATAGTAGACTTTTTGAGCACCTAACTAATTTGATTGTAGGTATTCTGTATATCTCAGATAAACACAATACCTACTATCAAATAAGTTCTTATTTGAGCTCTGCTAAAAGAAAACTACACGATTTTAATAAACGGTGATCTTCTAGCTTTGTGTTGACTTAAAGTCCTGTGCAACAATTTGGCTGAAAGCTGACCAAGTCAGGCTAGGTAAACATCGAAAACATGTGCGACGTTTGAATCCAGGGCGTGAAATTGCGCCCAATACAGGCGCCAATGCGACTAAATTTTTCACTTTGGCGACCAAATCCTGAAAGTTAGTCGCCAAATTGGCGACTAGAACGTTTCATCATAACCTTACCAAGAGATATAGTAAATTAAAAAAATTTGCAAAGATAAATCCGCGGCAAACTTCCTCGTTAAGTTTGTTTCCAAAACGTATTACATGCATCTCGATCGATAACTAGACGCCATCTTGGATCTAGATGAGCCTGAACGTTGTTTATCATCCATCCTAGTGTCCACTTTGTAGCACGTTAAAGATCTTTTCCCTAACTTAATTTTGGAGGGTCTATCTAGAACGCTGACAGCGTAAAGAAAGATTTTTTTGTCTTTGAAAATGGCGACCAACTTTTTTTGAATTGGCCACCACTTTGAAGAATTTAGGAGCCAAGTGGCTATTAGAAAAAAAAGTTAATTTCACGCCCTGGACTCGCTGTCTTTTGGAAAGCAGGTGGCTAAGAGATCAGTTTTAAAAAATTTAAATTGGGTGTTTGTCGTTATAAGACACTAAATGTTTAGGCTAAGCCAACGCAGAATTGCATTTAGTGACGAGAAGTACATGTACCTTCCCGATCCTGAGAGTGAAAGGGTGTAATCATCGAATGGGCATTATTTATGTATTCATTATCATGTTTGCCTCTATTTATTGATTTAACAATCATTACAAATTCTTTTCCTTTGAACAGAAAATCGGAATTAGTAGTTCGTATCACTTCGTCGCAGCCTGGTGTTTACCAAGTGTGCCTTCACAATACAGGTGATGCAAAATATCACTCTAGTGATTGCTCTTTTTCTAGGCCTCTCCATAGCGTATTTCGTATTTCAAAGTTGTCACGATGGCCTGTCGAAGTCACGGACAATGTCACAGAGAGTCAGTGAGAACTCTAAGTAATCCAACTAACTGGCTAAAGCGCGGGAAAACGCGGGTGAATGACCAAGTTGCGATTGGTCTTAGTTCTGCATCTGATTGGTCGAGAAGTTGACATGGCGCGAGTTTTTTTTTTTTAACCAATCAAAGAGTGAAGTAAACCAAAACTAATTGAATACCGGATCTTCTTACGGTACTCAGTGATTTGAATAGCACTTTACCTGTACCAGTCGGCTGTACTTTGACTGTAGTATTTCACGTCATTTTTGACTGTTTTGTTTTCTTTTTGTAGGTGACTCGAGTGCGAGTTGCGAGGTTCACTTAAATTTAGAAGAGTTGTTAGAACTACAACACCGACGCGAACAGGTAGGTCCTTTGTACTGTATATAAGTAGCTTAACATTAAAATCATAAGACGATTGAAACTCCTCGGCTACATCAGCAGTATCAGCTCTTCCAGTCCCCGCTGCTTTTCTAGGATTTTCCACTCCTTTTTAACATCCTTCGACATCCCACGCTTGTATGACGATCGGTTTCCCACGCTTTGCGTTCTTTTTCCCGCGCTTTGCGTTCTTTTTCCCGCTCTTTTTTCCGCTTCCATCTGCCGGGTGACATTTTCCGTTCGGCTTACTGAAATATGACAATTAGCTTCAGAGGAGGAATGTTTTGATCTCTGTTAAATAGGAATATTCACACTAATTTGCTGATCAAGAAAATCCGATTAAAAGAAAGGAAAAGAAAACCTTTCCAGTGATATAATGCGTTAGGTAAACAGTTTCAGCAAGATGACTGAAAAGTCACACAGGCTTCCTCTTCTTTTGAAGAGAAAGTGACGGTAATTTCGGGTCTCTTGCGGGTGTTTGCCGGATTTTTCAATCGTTTGGGCTACAAGTTCCTCTAGTAATGAACGCCTCCACTTTAAAATGCCTCTTCACCGTTTTACTTTCACAATAAGCCAAATGATAGTCAAGAAATTCGCCATCATGTGAATTCGTAATGGCGTCCTTATCTAACCAGGTTTGAGGACATAATACGCTTCTGAATTCTCCTTTAACAAGTTTATAGTCACTTGGAGAAATGCGTAAATCTAAAATTGTATTAAGGAAAATGCGACCAGCCAGCTATATATTATTTTTGCAAAGCTCAGGCGTCAAAATTTATGTACTTTCACTGTATTTCCTTGTTTTATTTTCGTTTGATTTTTTCAGAGTTGCTTCCGTTTGCAAGCTGTCCGTCGTTATGCATTGTTTATTAATAGATGGTTACGTGAAAGAATAGAAGCCACACAAAAGAGTGTTTCAAAGTCTTTTTGAAGCCGCTTGTAAATAAACCCAGACACCAAGAGGTCAGTCCCATTGTGTGGTTCAGACAATACCCGTTTTTCTTTGGGACCTTAAAAGGTTTCGAGGCGTTCCTTTGAATACTCTCGTCAGGGGATGTCCGTAAACAGAAACCGCTGCTTTATTCAAATGGAAATATGGCTGATGTAGATAGAGTTAAAATTGCGTGACTGGGTGCGTATACAAAGCAACACAATTTCCGCCTCGTACGTGTGGCGAAGGACTCTAAGCCCACTTTATTGCAGTCGCGTGCTTCAGGATATCCGCTCTTGTGATAATTCAGGAAGCAAGAAGATTAACTACCTTCAATTTGATATTTTTGCTAATGTGTGTCTCTCAAACCATCAGTGGATTAGTCTGCGTCATTTAGCAGACGAGGAAATATTTAACTTACGCCCGTTTGGCGAGTAACAAAAACAACGGGTCACCATAAATATCGACTGGAATTTTTGCCACTTAACTAGCTTCGCTTTTTTCTAAGTTGTTCTAGGTTAACAGAAGAAAAAAAAACCAAGAAAAACAACCAATCCAATTTCTGTTGCTCGTACTGAAAATTACTTTGGAGTTTTGCACACGCAAAATTTTTGTGCTGTCATAAATTGGCGCTTCCCACCCACGTTGCAATGATTTTAAACGCGTTAATATTGACTTCTTAATGGATCTCAAACTGTGCGAGAGATACAATTTAAGGGATTTTTACCGTGTTTTTATTCTCGCTACTTTGATCTGCTGATGACACCCTTTGTGTCTTGGGCCGTGTTTTTAATATTGCACTACACGCCCTTGGGGAAGACAGGATATTTTTAAACCCAGATGGACAGTGGGCAACAACTGACGCAAATGCCGGGGAGATTTTAGCCACGTCATGCTAACAAGCTTTGCTCTGAGTCGCTTTGTAGGCAAAAATAATTACCTTCGGATCCAACTAGAAATCTCTGGCATCTATTGTATCTAAAGATGCACGAAAGCATCAAAGGATGAAGAATTTTGATAGACTTGGAAGATTGATGACGAACTTGAAAAATAGGCGTAGTCTCACAGTCGTTTCTTAGGAAGTGTTTTTTTGGCTCCCTGAAGAGCAAAACTAGGCAAGTAATTTATAAAACTTACATGAGTCAGAGCCTTTCGTAACAGCACAGTACCAGCCTGTGTTTATTCTCTGGTGTGGCAACAACTGGAAAGTCAAATTGTTGACGTCAGTGTTTGTAAAAGTAGAAACGAGTTATTTTTGAGATTTTTCACCCTGTAGAGTGCACTTGGAATGTTTAAAGATGTCTATCAGTGTCATTTTCGCGAAGAGAAGAAGTTACATGCAAGGTTTGTAGGTTAGGGCTCGTTTGTTTTAAAACTGAATTCGTGAAATGTTTTTGATAAATACCCAAGGTACATCTGCTCATGTGCGTTACTTATGATGGCCTGATCTATGCCTAGTGTAGAGTACAATTACCTTCAGTACATCTCACAGAAGACGTGAAGGAAGTTGGTGCGGCAACTTGTCTCTTTTTTTATTTTTTTCTGTAGGTGGTCGTCTTTTGCGTCAAATTTGCTAGACTGGTGGCTAAGAATAGAATGTAGCCTAAATAAATCAAAGAAATTGCTGTTTCGTATTTACACAGTATCGCTTATCATGCAGACGTATTGATACAAAACAATGAAAGAAAAATTGTTATTATGAGTGGCAAAGCTGAGAAATAGTAAACTTATACAAAAAATGTTTTAGATTACGAAGATTTAAACGGTTTTGCATAGAAACTTGTTAATAGCACCAAGTACACCATTTTTGAAGGTTGCTTCGTACGTGGATCGTATCAATATCAGTGGTACTAGCCATTTACGAATTTTTATTCTTCGTGAGGTATCACAACCTTTCAACTCGCATGGTGTGAGTAATAACTCTCCCCTACGGCTTTCGTACATTTCCCTGTAAACAAGTTATGGGAATTTGGTGCAAAATCAAAACAACTCTCTTAAGCTGATTCTTTTTGGTATTCTCATGGCCTGTTTGCTGAACAGTCAAAGGATACTCTAAGGAGAAATTGCTTGTGAATCTCTTTTGAGAATTGAAGGGTGAAAAATTCGTGACCGTGGGGTATAATGTTATGGTTCCTCTTCAAGTATGAGGGGCTCATTTGCAGAATCATGAAAAGTAAATGGAGGAAGACAGACAAAAGTGTACTGATATTTCATCTCTATATTTGTTTGTTTATTGTTTTATACGGCGGAATTTCATATCTCTGTTAATGACAAATTGCACGAAGAATCTCGGATATTTTTATGAACTCAGTTTTGACCAAATTTTTTTTTTTTTTTGCTACATATGAATGTTCCAAAGAAGGTTGATTTTCTCGACTACTCGTCGACTCATTTTCTTAAATTGTTTTGATAGCCAAATGTTGTTTCATTTTACTATTATGGTGAGTACTCCCCTAGAATCTCTGCTGAATCAAATAACGGGTTCTCTTTGTCAGCAGTAATGGAAATTTCTAGAGAAAGGTGTCGAGATGATATATACTGATAACAGAAGGTGAATAGTCATGGATGGAAAAGATTACCACGGATTGAAGGTTCGGGCGATGTACCTAAAAAATAAAAAAAAGGAAAAAGAGAAAAAGAACTTAGATTGAAATTTTTATTATGCAATACGTAAACTGAAATTCCTCTTTTCAATGTTATGTTCAATGCTTGATTTATCAGAAATTAGCGACGATTTTTTGAAGAATGACTGATATAATCCATTGTAGAGTCGTAACATTATACTCTAGACAGTTTATCTTAATGACATTGGGTTATTGAGGTCGCCTGCTCTAAGTGTTGTAGTGGGCTTTCGAGAGGTTTTTGACCCAAACAACCTCGGCTCCGATTTTCAAAGTTATGAAGATATTGAAACCGAAGATTCATTTTAGATTTTATGATGGTTGGTTTTGCCTCAGTGGCTTAAAGAACAACCCGATATTTTACAATGCACAAAATTGATTTTATGTGCATGTCAATTGCGTGGTATGTTGTGGGTTCCATTAAGAAGATTGTGAAATGAGAAATCTTGTGGAAACAATGCAATATCGTGAAATGCATGCTTTGGTTGTCAGTTTTTTGTTTGAAAAATTTCCTCTTTTGAGCTGTTTTTGAAAAATTTCAAAGTTTTACAAAAGTGATCGAAATTTTTTTTTAATGTTTTCAATTTTTTTTCTTAAAAAAAATGGTTGTTTGTAATTACTTTCACTCAAGGTTTTTATGTAATCTATTTTTGTTATCTCTCTGCCACTTCAGAAATGCCTCACTTTAAAAGCACTTAAGTAGAGATCTTGTGCAAACGTGAACAAATACAGATGTAACTTACTGTGATGGCTTTTTACCTTGGGTGAATCGTTAATGTCTTAAAAGCTTTTTGCAAAATTTTGGTCTCTTTCATGTTTCCGTCCTTGGATTGTTGGGCAGAATCAAAATTACTTCTTCGCGGAAACTTCTTGTCAATTTGAAAGATACCGGCTTTAAAAAGCATAATTCGAATTGCATTTTGTTTTATAGGAAAATTTGTATTTGGAGTCGTTGCCAATTGTCGACACTTCGTAAGTGGCAAAGCTTGAGAAATCACGCTGGCCGGAATTTTTTACACTTCTTCGAAGTATTTTTGCCAGTTCATTAGCAAATACGCAATAACAATTTCAGGTAGCTTTTTTTTTGTGCCATTTATCAGAACCTTTGTGCAGTTGTCTCTCAAACGGGCCGAACATTATTCGTAACAAAGGGAACCTTATATTGGCAACGTTCAATTAGCTGGCACCTCTTTGTTTCCCTGAGGCATGTTTGTAGTAGTCTTTCTGTTCTTTCTATTCAACTCGTTGTAAAGCAGGTTAAAGTATTATTGTCTGCCAGTAAACACTCCACACAATGCTGCACATCAAAGCACGTCATTTGCTATCAAACAACATAATAAGTATTTTGTGTTGCTCGACAAAATAGCTTTTCCGATTATTTGAAATGCGGTTGCTTTTGTTGGTAGGCAGGATAAATTGTCTTCTCCGCTGTTCGGGCGTTTTAGTCGCGCTTCGCTCGGGCGTAATGCTTTTTCTGGTCATCTCCAGTCGTGGATATTCTTTGTGGGGTTAAAGCTGGAGGTATCTCCGTTAGGGTAAGGCGAGTTTATGTTAATGTTTACGGCCGATAGTGTAGCGACTGTGGTTTGAATTTGAAAACGAAGCTCTCATGCTTTCAAGTTTGTTGAAGAATGCTCTTTCTAAGAGGCGTACCCTTGAGATGTGAGCTTAGCTGAGCAATATCGCGGAAAATGCAATAACAATATTGGTTTTTTAGTTTCTTCATACAGAAATGGTTGAATTTTTGTCGTTTCTAGCGAACACATTGCGCTATTGGAACTTTAGAATGAATTTGGCGTGGCGTTAGCCACTTCGAATCTAGTGCGCGTTTGCCGATGAAAATAGTTTTCGAAAGGCAACCCATATAAGATTTTCACGTCAGATTTTCACACGCGTTCTTGCGTAAGCCTTAGTGACGGTAAAAATTTTTAAGGATGCAGGCAAAACTTAAAATAGCAAACAATTAAACCACAAAAATAGAGTGAGATCTCTCCCATACCCCCCACAGAATGTCGCGTGTTTCAAATGAATAGATGGTTCAATCCTTCATTAGCTCCCTTTAGAAAAGCTGGGCACCCTGCCTTCGTATAGTAGTGTTCCTTGGAATGAGCGCGCACGCAAATTTTAGTCGTAGAATTACCTGCTGGGGGCGTTTAGTGGGCCGCTTGTCGAACTTGGGGCCTCTTTCAAATAGGGGTTCCAGTGAAACGTGTGTTTAGGGCCCTAGGATTATGACGTGTTTTCCGAAAAGGGCCGGCAAATTGCAAAGTGTTAGCCTTTATTTGCCTGAACAAGAAGATCTTTCTTTAAGTCTTACATGGTCTTGGTTTTATTTTATTCCGAGAGAAAGCGGTTGAAATCAAATGAGTCGAAAATTGAAAAGGCTGACGGAATTTCATGTTTCTAATTTGAAGCTCGAATTTCATTTACTTTGAATCAGCTTCGCCCGTTTGTTTGCACAGATGCCGAGAGGGTTACAGATTAGATTTCGTTAAAAAGGAGCAGAATGCAATTTTTTGGGGGGATTTTCTCTTCATTTTTTACATCAGCCATTTTCGACAATTTCAAGTATTATTTTACCTTCCTTCTGTGGCAATGACCATCGTTTTAATTTGAAAGTACATTTTTTAGTACCTTCAAGGAATAAGAGTTTTTGTTTTATAAATGAGCTTTCTCTAGCTTGCATTAACTGACGTTGAAATTCCACCTTGAACTTTACCTAAGCACGAGAAACAGATCAAAGCGTTGAAAATGTTCAATATTAATCCGCTTAAGCGGTAATTTTCTCCCGTCTTACTTCAGGTTATTGATTAGGGCTAAATGAAGGCGAAATTAAACCCCTACATGTCGCTCCGAAGCGAGTGAAGTGTGGAGAAAGAAGAAAATAATGAAATTCAATGTTTTCGAGAGCTCTGATATTTTCGAACGGATGAGCGTCGGAGATCTTGCCGTCCTCTTGTTTCGTTCGCACTTTCAATTTAGATAGTTATACCAGAAATTGCTTGTCTTTTTTATAGTTAGCCAGAAATTCAAGCTTTCATTTCTACAGTTATTGTTATCATTTTTTCCAAGTTTGCTAGAGATGTATAATTCTTCGCTCTCGTAAATTTTGAATATTTGGATTTGTTCACGCTGTTAATAATTCATAGCCAGGATTAATTTGATTTCTTCAAATTTGAGAGTCAAATAAGTTTGGACACTTGATTCCTTCTCTCGGTTCTTCCTTTCCTGAATATTCAGTTTAATCAATAACCGTCGACCAAGGTAATTAACCCGCTAATAAAGTGAACAGTCATCTCTCAAGTTGAACAGAGAGCGCAACAAACTTAAATATATCACAAAACTACACCGCCCTAATCCAATGCTGTCTGTTGAGCCGGTTTAATAATTTCGGAGAGTGGTGTACAAATGTGAAATATTGGCTTAAAATTGCAATTAACACCGCTAATATCTTTTCAGTGAAAAGTCGGTTCAGAAGTATACAAAGTTAGTTTGGTTTTCTGCGAAATTAATTGGTAGCGGTGTTATTTCTGTTGTAAATTTCCGATGGCAGTTTGCATGTCGTGAAAAGGTTCTTCCGACAGCCTGTGAATCATAGCACTTAAGCCGCCTGCCTCCCCCAAATCATTTTTGTTTTTCTTTTTTCCTCATTAAAATTACATGTGAAGTCCACCTCCCAGAAAAAAAAAGTTATTTCCACGCTTTTTAATAACTTTTTATGTCTCGACTCTGCAATGGAGACGAACAAATGATGTTATTTTTTTCGCAAAAATGTTATTTTACTCCATCGTGTTCTCAGCGAATTGAGATTTTTCCTTTTTGTGTCTTTCAAATGTCAAACGCACTCTGATATGGTGAAAGCTTCTCGTGTTGTTATTTAAACCTCTTTGAGTATTGAGAGTACTCTTCTACAGGTTTTAAATTTAATGCTCGCCCAAAACCGAGTATGCTGTTTACAAACTATGTTAACCCTTTAGAGCAGCGCATAAGTGGTGTAATAGAACACGTAGCAAGACCTCTAAGATGCAAATTTCATGCAGCGCACGTGTGGCTCAAATTGAAAACGGGTTTTCTATTGTGCCGTTGTCGCCCAGGTGCCGTGAACGGTGACGAGAGGTTTTTTTGTGTCCTTTCTCATGCGCTTTTATCTCTGAATAGCTTGTTTATCGCGCCTTTCTTTGAAATAAATCAAGCGAGTTCGATTTTCCATTCGCGTTAACTGGTATCTTGTTTTTATTTTTCGGAAATGGTAGAGCGAGGGTTTTAAAACGGTACGATGGAAAGAGGTCCCGGCGGCTTACGCGTTTTTTCGCTGCGGTTAACGTTCGCCCATCCAGGTCTTGCTTCGAACAACTGGCCGACCACAGAGCACACGTGTTTAAGATAGAGCGAAACGTGTCAAACACTTCTAGTAAGTTCTCTACACGCACGAATTTGATTTTTATCTTAGTTGTGTTTTCCACATTCTTCTTTGTTTCCCGTAGATATGAGTGTCACTTTCGCTCTGAGAAAAAATTTTTATCTCGTTATATTTTTAGACAAGTTTCTTTGAATTGTTGTTTCTAAACGTAGCTTGCGCGGTATGTTTATTCCACTATGTGTGTATGTGTGTGGTTTGGCCCTGAAATGTTATCCTTGCTACATAAGTAATTGCATGGGCAGGACTGTCTTGCAGAAATTGATATTTTCTAGAGGGATCAGATGTTTGGCTCTAACGAGTTGTTGCGGATTGTGTGGTTAAGTAAAATTAGTTAACATTTGGGTGAAACTCGACCCTAATACATTTAGCACATCATTACCACATGGTTGGGGACCTGCCGACAGGCTCACCATACACAGACAATTAATCTTTCATAAAATGAGTCTTTCGAGGTTAGGCGTACAATGAAAACAGAACTCGAGATTTCAAGCTAATTTATTGCTCTCAGTTCGTGTGACTGTACGCGTTTTTGCTTGAGGATTATTTTTCAACATTTTCAACTGGGTCGATAAAGAAAAAGAATACCGACGAAGGTTACTAGTAACGAAAATTACTCATGGAAAACTCAATTTCGTGAACAGTTTATTATCACAAAATTGTCGATTATCTTGTCCCTGGATTATTTGCTAAGCTGACTACGGGATTGTTGTTATCTAAAACTTACAGTTCCTCTAAATTCTTCTCATGAATACAGAAGACGCAAAATCCATGATGTTTTTAGTTAGCTATATTTTGTGTGTTGGAAATGCGACAAAACAGTTTTCGGCTGTGGTAAAGAAATTTACGGTATCAGTTTCTGTATTAAGTTTAAAAGTCGTCAGCGCTAGCCGCAAATTATCTTGGCCATTATTAGCGGATAACACCTTAAATACTCACCCCGACACAAGGCGAAAGGGCACGATTTAAATTCCAGGGTACAACATTTTGTTCCGCCGAACGTTAATCGTGCTTTTCAAAATACAAGTTTTTTTCCGTCGAATATTTATTTGATTCCTTTTAGCTTCAAGAGGGTTCTGATTTCTTCGTTGAACTTAGTAAACAAAGAAACGTACTGAATCGAATATCGTATAGGAATATTAATGATGTAAAAGCGACCCGATACGGTTTTTTTGAGTCTGTTTTTTCGCTTTGCATTCAAGTATTATTTTCTGCACGCACCACCAAAGACGAAGATCATTCGTAGTTTTTTTTTTCTTTTTCTGCCCCATGGGTATCCTATGAAACACTCGAGTTGTTTGAAAATAAAAAACGCAATTAGTGTGTGGAGTTTTAGTTTAAAATCTTGTACTTATCAATGAGAATTGGCAGCTTGTTAGTCGATTTAGAGCATGGTCTAGGCACTCTCTCTCCCTAAATAACTCAGGAACCAGTTTATTTTTGACATCTGTAGGAAAAAGGCTTTTCTGTGCCGCAAAATACACTTTGAAACCAAATAGAATGTTACGGCTTTTAATTACACCGAGAAAGGTGCACGTATGCAAAGCTTTTAACGCGCTAGTGTGAACGTTTGATCAGATGCTGTAGTGAGGTATTTTTCTGTACTCTCTATCTTGTGATTCAGTAGGATTTTTTTTTAACTACTAGCTTTCGATCTATTACCCTTATGTAAGTAAAGAATATTTGAGATCAAGACCTTATCATATAACTGTACTATTGTCGCACCGTTAGAATCAACCAACGTGGATGGATACGAACAATTTCCTCTCCCGATGCAGTTTGAAATTAGCATACATTTGTCTTAAGAGCACCAGTTCAGAGCTGTTTTGTTTTTCACCTTTAAGACTAAAACCACCTGAACGTACTTTTTTTTTTTTTACCAAAACCTTAGACGGGTTTTGTTCCTTGGCTTTTCACAAATCAAGCCTGCGGGGATTATTTTACTGCCTAATTACGGATTGAGCGCCGCCATCCCATTCAGGGATACGAGTCGAAACGAATATAATTTCACTTTACGTCTTTTTGCCTGTGGTATTGTATTCTCTGGGGAAATTTTCTTTGCACTGTTTGGCTTTGAGGTCGAGTTGAATAACTTGCCCTTTGAAAAGTGCAATTGAATTTTGCTTTTGTACTGATTTAGTTGTCGATTCCGTACCAGAGATGGTTGGGTTTATTTTGTTACGGTCGAATGTAATCTTTGATTTCAAGAAGATCAGAGTAACTATACAAGACAATTCGCGCTCACAACCCAGTTCTGTTAATTTAGAACTGTTCACGTAGCAGATATGAAAAATGGATGCTACGTGGTGTGATAATGATCCATTTGGACCCATTTTGCCGGAGGTTATTTCATTTATCGTACGGTAAACGTGATGTTGTCAAAGTTTTGTTAGTTTATCTCAATCTCTCTTTCCTTAATTTACTCACGCACTGTGACCTAGTACTTGAATTTATCTGAAGATGTACACTAGTGCTTTAGGTAGAAATTTGATTTGTGTGATATCGCAAAAGTAGAAAGAGTTTAATCTTTCTCAATTAGAGTTCACAAACCAGTGGACTAGTCGATAACTATCACTCGTTAATCTCAAGCGTCGAAAATCTTATTTTTATAATAGATTTTTTTGCAAACTAGACATCCTTCAATTGAGAGGATGTTAATCTTTCTCGATTCATAGTTAACTTATGCTTTTGAAGTAATTTTGTGAATATTTGAAAGAAGACCAGTTGTGTCTCTTTGGAACTATCTGCGACGTGCTTAAGGGCGGGCGTTCTCGCTTTGTGTAGTTTGTCAGAATATTTATCAAAATGAATATAATCCATCGTAAGCCTCGTAAGGAGAGTTCAGTGTATAACAGTTGCTGTATTTTTGCTTTATTCTATTAGTGTACAAAAACTTATTGTGTGTGTGTTTTTTTGTGTGTGAAACGAACGTCCGTTTGGCTAGCATCGCTTTCCCTAAAACGAGGGTAATAAATTTCTTCCTCGGGAAATCTTCCTTATATTTTATTTTCCTTCTTTATTGTTCGTATCTACTTTTCTTATTCCAGATAATCTGCTCTGCGTTTAGAATTTGAGCTTATGTTGAACGATTCGAAAAATATCGTTTGTCTCGTATTCACTGCTGTTGTGTTAACGCACAAACGCACCAGACGTTGTTACGTACGGTTTTGGCACTCGCCTTTGAAGAGTGAAACGTTTTGAAATTTTCCTGGTGTGAAAATGCAGCTAAGCTCGCGTCAACTTCCTTGCATTTAATTCTTCAATTACTCGAGTCTTGTATGTTTAGACAGAGGCTTTTGTACAGTGCAGTTGTAATAATTGGTTTACAATGAGTCACCGTCTTTTAACTTTCAAGAAGTCTTTACATAACATTAATTGCAGTTACTAATTCTCGTACCACGTTTTGCTGTGTTTTTCGTACTGTTCCGTTCTCGAGTTATCCAAATTTTGTATATTCTCTAGCGCTGCAAACATCTGAGCACCTTTGTTGTCAGTGTCGCCAAGACGCACTAAGTCCAAGTCCAAATGATTCAATGCTGCTGGTTTTATCGCCAAAAAAAAAGAATTCGATTCTATGGCGCTCGCTTCTTCCAAACGAAAACTTGTGTTTGAAATTACGAAAGATCATTTTTGTTTGAGATTTTGATACCTGCTCCTTTTCAAGATCAAACATTTCCAGGTTCGAGTTTCATGCATATGTAAAATTCCCCTTGTTAGTGATTGTTGATTTTACATTTTGATTAATAACTGATTTTTTTCCCTAATCTCTGATCGATGTGTATCTTTGTGGCTTTGAGCGTGGATTTCATAACTAATAACTGACGCCTCCCTTCTGGTGATAAAAAAGCTAATCCAAAAAGGAATTCCCTCTAAGTAGCGGTGGCAATTTGGTGATCAAAACTGTTATCAACGATTCTTATGATATATGTTTTTTGTCGAGTTTCCATACGTTCTAAAGCCAGTTTCTTAAGTTTCGAGAATCGTACGCGTGCAATCCTTAAAATAGTTTCTCGTTTGTCGTTCAAAAGATCTTTTTCCCCTCAAACTACGCGGTTATCTGTGATATAAGCGATTAGATAATTTAAAGTCAAGTCGCCAAAACGAAGGGTTTTGCGCTCTCCTTCGTCGCTTGCTTGCTCGCTTATGAACAGCTGTTTTAATGTTTAGACAAACTGGAATGTTGTCTTCCACTATCTTACTTTTGTTTACTCAATCAACTCGGAAAAGGTCTTTGAGTAGTTCCTACCCGCGTACAAACTTGATCGATGCCTTAAATTTTCAAATAAATTTTGCGCGCTAGGAAAAAAAAGTTCTCGATCTTAACGTTTCCTAATTCACAACCACCGTTATATGGTGCTGGTCTTTCCTTGATACACAGAACTGGATGATAACACAATTTTAAATTTTCCAATCTGAAACGAGAATTTGCCACGAAACATATATATATATATATACATACACATATATCTATATTGATGTGAGATAGAATTTAACTTTTAATACTGATTAATTTTATAAGAAACGCACTCATATTTAGTTTTTCATAATTTCGCTTTCGCCCTGAGGCGAAATACGAAGCAAAACAAATCTCTGTCGAAGGAAAAAGTTCATGTGAATGCAAAATTAGGAGCACGAAATTGGAACTACCAAAATTAAAACTTCTCTCTGTGGTGTAATTAATTGCTGCGCCAAGTTTTACGTTGTACGACGGAGTTAACATTTCCAACCATGCCGACATGAAGCAAAAAAGTTCATGTTAAATTTTTCAACTCATTTGAAAAACATACCGTATGGAATCCATTTGCGTGGTCAAACTTCCTCCCTGTGGAAACGAGCTATCTTAGGCAAAATATTTTCCTTGACATGCAGTGATCTGCGATATGTTTATATCAAAATCGTTCACTTAGGGTTTATCCGGCCGCTGGCAAATTTGCTAATGTGTGGTTTTATGGCGATGTTTATCACTGTACATGATGTATTGCCGAGCCTAAAGGATACGCGTTTGAAAAGAATACAAAAGATGTAGTGGTTTCTTTTCGCGTATGAAAAGGGTAAATTTCGAATTGGCGCATAAAGGCGTTATCTTAGTCGGACAATGGATTTGCCCCGTCCCTTCAAATTACTTCTTTTCAAGGAAAGTTGCTTGTTGATTTATCGCACAAATGATTCCAATTCACTTTAGCCGCAAGGTCGATCGTGTGAATAATTTTGCACCGCAGAATTATAACTTTTGCCCGTGGAAGGGCAGCGACTTCGCGTCGAATTTCATTACGTAGTCCTTGTTTCTTTCCAGATTGGAACGTGATTTTGTTGGTGCTTGCAAGGATTGTTTATTTTGTAGTTAGCGAGCTGTGTAAACGTTTAGCGATCGCGTCGAAAATTATCAGATAATGATATACCACAGAACGACAGAGCATTCTGTCGTCCGCTAATAAATTCTTTGATTCGTCTAACGTTTCCGTGGTTTTAAACGTGTGAAAGACCTAAGTTGCCTGGGGTTTTAACGACATGTTAATGGCTCGTCTCTCGTTAGCCTCGGACCCCAGCGTTGTTAGATCGCTACAATTTTGAGCACTCTTTGGAGCATGCAGAAAGACTCTTTTGTCTGGCCTCTCGATCGACCAAATGCGAACTTGACCGAACCAGTGATAGTTCGAGTACAAGTTGATATTGCACATACTTTTATTTCTTGCATCAAGTAGCGAAAATCCCTTGGTGACAATAGAATTAAAGATTGTGGTCGGTTCTTGTGTTGTTCTGGTGAGCGTGAATGCATATGCTGGCGAAATTTAGATTGAAGGTCTCTGCGGATCAGGAATCTTTCAACGCTAATCAATTATTCATCTCAAGGGTTAGTCATGGAGGCGGGACGGTGTAGAATCTAATTTAAAACTGCTGATGACAGGGGGATAAATTGTTAGCGATCTTATCTAAATTTGCCTTTGTGTACAAGCCGTAGGGGACATTTCTTCACCCGGGGTGGTTCGCACTTTTTCAATTGACAATTTGATAATGAACTGCTAAAGTTGCCCTCTCGCTAGCAGCCATCGATTACACTTCCTCTCTGAATACGCTGTATTTCCGATCAGGTTTCGTAAACATTGCCGAAATGAAGAAAGAAACACGATCGCGCCTCGAATCCTTCCTAGTCTTTCGTGTTTTTGCGCGACCGTATCACCGTAGCATTGATGGGTCTGCATCTCACCGACCATGCCTTGGTCTCCTAAGGGATTACTTACTAATCAAAGCTTGGGTTGTTGCAATGTCCTCTGTGTGCCCGTGAAAGTTTCAAGAGTCGAAACTGTGTTTTTTAATTAGTTTACATAACATGGATGCTAATCACTATGTTAGCAGCACGTGTAGAAAGCTCCAGTGACCCGAATCTAATGTTATCCTACCTCTGTAGAGACCACACACAACGATGTCTGATTTGAACCTAACTCTCTTTCTGTTCTTCTTTTTCACTTATAGGTCTTTCGTCTCAGTGAGTTTGTTTCGCTCGACGTGAGGCGCTTTGTATCCCTTCTCCACAAGAATTTCACGTCAACGTGAGTGTTCTTTCGTGCGAGTAAACATTGTATACACGCCAGAGTCAGGTTCCTGATTAATTTTCAGAGAGATTAAAAAAATGCCTGTTGTCACTCAGGCTCTGGGAGGAAAATTGGTTTACGGAAAGTGATAGACACTATGGCGAACAAATGTTGGTGATCACGACTATAATTTAAATACTTGTTTGAATCAAGCCGTAATCGGACCAGAAAAATTGTTTTCACTAATTTTCCTAGCTTGTATGATGTAATGAAGATATTTCAGCCGAGAAAAAATAATATATTTTGTCGTACAACTTGCCACCTAGAAAATTTTATTTTTGTTTAAGACTTTTCGTATTTACATACGACATTAACACCTTGCCAGCATGGGAAATTTTTCTATTACATTCAATAAAAATATCTATTTGTTTTACACCAGTATGCTTGCTTTTTTCGTTTCGTTGAGGTTATATTTTACAAACGAAACGACTCACGGGGGTGGAAGGTTTTTTTCGCCCCCACTCGCATCTTTAAGTTTTGCCTGAAAACTACTCGCGCCGACCGCAAGAGGTAACAAGATTTGTTTGTGAGCAAGTCCACGGGAGGTTTATTCTAGTTCTGACTGCATAGCGTTCTGATCACAAACTCATCAAAGTCTCGGTTGTATAACAAATAATTTCTAAAACCTGCGACCAAAGGATTGAGTCAGTCAACAAAATGTTCTCTAACTTTCGAGGCAGTCCTCTGTTTTTTTTTTCTTCTGCCCGCGAGATCTATCATATCAAAACTTCGCGTAATTATTTTTGGCGCGTGAAACTAATTAATTGGTGCCTCTCTGCCGATCCACCAATAGCGTCACTGCCAGGGCTAATTAGGTCGTGCGTTGCCGGGGCAACCAGTGTCGCACAATGGAGAATGAACCGAAATCAGGTGAGGGGCGCACGTGCAGTTAGTGACAGTGCCGGTCAATCGGTCAAGTTTCACATCAGCACCTGCTAACTTCCAGCTAATTTCCATGTTTCGGACAGATGACAGTTCATTTCCTTGGGCTCGGGTGATTAGGGCTTAATTGGACCAGCTGATGAGCGTATCACACTCGCTGATTTGTCGACAGGCCGGTGAGATCTCGGAATCAAAACGTCGATCCCCGCCCCCTTTGACGAGCGCCTCAACAACTTGTCACATTGGCTGGCGGGCTGTCAAACGGGTTGACATGAGTAACGCAACTAAAGGTTCATTTATCAAGAGTGTCATTGGCTGCTTGCTGATTGGCCAATTGGCGTTGGCTCGCTTTCTGCCAATCAATAACACATGGGATCGAGGAGGCGAGAGTCAAAAATAACGTGTGCTCCTCATAAGCGTGTAACGAGGCTTTGAGAGCGTACCACGACAGAACGACAAACGAACTCTCGACAAACCGTCACAATTTTGTCGTGGAAAATTTGGCCGCCGCCAACTTGAAGGTAATTTTATTTAAATTTGTGTCGTTCGTTTGGCCATGTCGACGACCACAATTTTAACGCCGTCGGCGAACACGGGCTCTAACGCGAACGGAGAAAGTAATGGAAAGTGCAGTCCGGACCGCGTTAAGCGACCCATGAACGCATTTATGGTGTGGAGCAGAGAACGACGGCGTCGAATGGCGCAGGAAAATCCGAAGATGCACAATTCGGAGATTTCGAAGAGGCTGGGAGCCGAATGGAAACTTCTCTCGGACGCCGAGAAGCGACCGTATGTGGACGAAGCCAAGAGATTGCGAGCTGTTCACATGAAGGACCACCCTGATTACAAGTACAGACCGCGACGAAAGAGCAAAACTTTGCTCAAGAAGGACAACAAGTACACTTTGTCGATGTTAGGGGCTCAAGGTGGTCCGCCAGTTCAACGATCTGTGGCGCAAAACCCGGCCGAACATTTCGCACAAATGAACGGTTTTACTTACGGTCCCATTTCAGCGTACAGCCAAATGAATGTGAGTGATCCTTATAGTACAATGTACGCCGGTCATCCACTATCGCCGCATACCCCTACACAACTACAAGCTACGAACGGCATGCACCATTCCGGTTACACTAGCATGGGAGGCAGCCAAATTTACCCTGTTGTTTCATCGCAGGGTCAAGCTTACACCATGAATGGTACTGCTCCGTCGATGAACTCGATTACTCCTTTGTATTCGCAGCCTAGCAATCCTGTGCTACTACCAAACATTAAACAAGAAATCCCGAGCCCTGGCTCGCAGTCCAGCCGGACACGGAGCTGCACCGATCAACTCGGAGATATGATTAACACGTATCTTCCTGGGGATACTTCAAATTTACAGAATGCGAATCATCACCACCAGGTTACTGGAAGCCACGTTCCTCCCAATCGCTATAGCCAGTGGCAGGAATCAAGCTCTGTGGCGAGCAGTCTGCCTGTCCATAGCGGAGTGACTCCAGTTAGCATTTCTAACGTTTCGGGCGTTAGTGGGACAATGCCATTAACTCACTTACCATGATGGAATTAGCGAAACGCCGGGATCATTTCTACCGCAAACGCACGGTAAATTCATTCTGTATTTTGCTACGTGATCGTGTTCTCAGTCGTTTATAGAGAGAAGTAAGAGAGAGAGAGAGACAGAAAAAAAAGCAACACAGAGGTTAAGCAGATTTATTGCTTGACTCGGCTTCAAAGTCAAAAGTGCTGCCATGCTATTCGCTGGAGAGATTTAAGACGAGGGGATAAAATCCGAACGGGTCGTTCCCGGAGAACTGAATTTACATGTAGAGCGAGAATTTATTGAGATCGCGTTGTGGATTTATTTAAGGAACTTTATGCCACACTCTCAGATTGTTTTTGTTGGATGTGAATAATTCTGCTGGAAAGAGAAGTGAACCTAAGTAATTGAAACGACTCGTGTAGTTTTCAATACACGAAAGATTAGTATCAAGAGATGAAAAAAAAAAAATCTCGCTTAAGTCGAGCTTTTTGTCAGTGTTCTCAAGTTGAACGACGAAATGTTCATGCAATCATTTGCTCGCTGAATCGTTCTTTTGAACCCTTGTTGTTTGTTGGCTTGCATGTTTAAATTACTTTGTAGGATTAAGCACGTTTGTATGAATTTCAAAACCCTATGTGTACCATGCTAATATTAGTCAGTATTGCTGAGTTCCGTAATGATATCTTGATGAAGAAAAGCAACAACTTGTATATAACTTCAGATCAAAGAGAGCAGATAATTATTTCTTTATTTTCCTTTTGAAGAAATAAAAAAGCACATTAAAATAATTCTTCGGCTGGTTAGCTGTAAAGCATCTTTAACTTTTTCCATGGCGAATGAAAAATTTCGGACAATATGCGGTCATTTTCGAACACGTCGCTTTCCAAAGTTAGTTATCGTCCGGGCTAAAGGGTCGCGCGCGCACGAAATTCAAACAACGTCCCGAAATTGCACAAATATTGTTTTATTTGCTGAAAAGCCCGCGAGCGCAGAACAAAAGGGTCCAGTTTTCGCCAAACGGCCTATTTGAATACAAGTATATGCATAGATGAGGGAAAAGCTGTGTTTTTAAAATTTGAACGCTTTTCCACTCAGGCGTTGAGAATACAGAAAAATCGGCGTGTAGAGTTGACTCGTCGTGCGTCAAATGAGGTGTTGACAGGTCTTTCCGGAAGCCGATTGGCTAAGATCTGAGTGCTGATGGCAGCTGTGTTATCAGCCCTTTCAATAATAATCATTAGGGCTTATTAACAGAACATTCCTGGAATGTGCGTCAACTTCATTACTGCCAACTTGTTACGAGAGCGAGCGGGTAGGCGAAGTTTTCGTCAAGGCCCACGCCGACAAGTTTTCTGAAGTATGTCGGACGATAACGTACAAGGAAACCGCAAAGTAAATGGCCTTGATTTCTCTGTATTCTCTACTTAGCCAATTTTTCAACGCCTCTTGGTTCCCATGGATACTAAAAGCTATAAAGACAGCTGAGAATTACAGCTGTAAGCAGCTTTGAAACCCTCGAAAGATCGTTGAGTTTTTCCAGAGTGCAGACGTCTAAATTCTTAATCTTGGCACGCGTCAAACCATCACCGATCAACCCTTGAAACGAGCGCCCATTCTCCCAGTCGACGAAAAATTTTTTTAATCATTTCACCGGTGTTTTGATATGTGTTGACAAGTTCTGCAAGCACAATTAGCACATGTTTATCGGTGGCGGTGCATCATACAGAAATTTTGTTACTAAAATTAAACTTTGCGTTTGGTCATTTCCTCGGTGCGAGGAAAGTTAGTTTAGCATTGTTCGCCCGGTGATCGAAAGGGTTTACCGCTGTTTGAAGGAAATTTCTTTAAAATTTACTTGAGTAAATAGCATCTGGCGTTACGCCAATATTGGACATAAAACTCTGCCTTCGCCTTATTACTATTTACCGTACAAATGTCAGGTTTTCATTTAGATCTTGAACCCGTTTGCGAGTTCCCGCTTGTGCAATTACTGCCCTGTCCAAATAATATTTCACTATTCAATTTTAATATAAATCTCTTCATTTAGAGTTCGACTCCTTTTGAAATGAACTCCCGAAAGTGAAGAAAATTACGGCCGTCATGAAGCTGCTGTAGTCGGGTCGCAATTAGAGAACTGATATTGGCCAAAGAGCGTGAAATGCAAAATAGTTTCTTTCACAAGTGCTTTATGAATAATTTCCTCTTCGATCAAGGAAACTTTGTTTGGTGACGACTAACATCGAATCGTATGTTTCCGTGAAACTTAGAAGAAACCCTCAACAAGCTTTTTTTGGAACTTACGAAAAGGAAGAAGGAATTTAGGGAGAAATATGTCTAGTCTTTGCACGAAAGTTAATGACAGCATAAAAAAAAAATAACAAATTACTGGTGTTATTAGCGCAGGCCAAGTTCCGGTTGAAATTTTGCAAGAATTCACAAAACCCTTCTAAAGTTTCCCTACACATATCGATACACACTCACGAAAATGGCCTAGTAATCGATGTTTACCAAAATAGAAAGTGGCTGTCATGAATTTGTTTTCGGTGTTGAGTTTCGAGCGACAACGAATGAAAATGAGGGGTATTTTTGGTGCGAGGAGACAAAGCTTAAATGCTAATGTACAGGTAGCGAAGCGAAACGTGCAGAATAAAAACTTTGTGCGCTTCAACGGCTTTTTTTGTGTTTCTCGAAACTTGTCGACAAGATCAATTGACAATTTGAACAGACTCGACGAAAAAACTTCTCAAATCGATATTCATTTCTCTAATGCAGACATTATTAAGTGTAGACAAATTGGTTGAATAGCGATCGAACGATGAACAAAGCGTGCCTTAACCTTTGATAAAATACTTATGGGTTTCCATTATCAATAATGCACGTTTGATGAAATTAGGAGTGTATGAAAGAATCATTTTCGCGGCTATGGATCTTGAAGGGCAAGCATTCTGTTGTGATTCGATTAGACGAAATCGCTATTAAGATCGGCCATTTATCTGAGCAACTTAAAACCCAAAGCAAACATTCTGCAATCGCTACTCTTTTCAAGAACCAACATTGAATTATAAGGCTTTTCTTTCGGCGTAGACATTTACTCGAACCCTTTGTTTGATGTCGCATGAAAACCCCATTACATTTCTATAGGAAGTAAATGTGAATAGATAACAGTCTTTATCAAGGAAGAAAACTTTCTGTTGACTCTCTGTTATTGCGCACGTAAATAAGAGTTTAGTATCGTAAATTTGGACCGTAAAAGGCTGCAGTTAGCGTTCAAGCAACTTTGGAGCCCTATTCTCCAGGGGCTTTCTTCCCGTCTGCCTCTTAATTATGTAAGTTTTTTTTTTTTTGCTTTCCAGCCTCACTGTGACAGTGATTTATTTACTTAAGTTTCCTAAAGAAAACTCTTTTAAGTTCATACAAGACATGCCAAGTCCAAGATAGCTCTCTTGGCTGATATCGGTTGTGAATTTATCACTATTTAACATTGTTTCTACGCTATGTAGTCAGTTGACGAAACTGAACTTCGAAAGCGAAAATCTCTCTCGTTTGGTTTGTTTATCGAACGAGGAAACTTAACGCCTTCTTGACCTCGCGCCTCGCAATTTGAAAAACATGACCATTGGTGTGGCGTTCGTTCTTGCCAACATCTTAACATGAATAGAAATCTCTTATGTTTTCTCTCTCGGGGCGGAAGAGGCGTGAGGAGTGGGCAAGCTGTTAAGGGACTACACGCCGCGTTGACTCACACGGCGCGAAGAGGCGTGATGCCAAAAACTAATTAATTTCTCGGTGTGTTGTCGGGTCTCCTGAACTCTCTCGTACTCCGCGAAATTGTAAACATTTGTGAGATTAAAGACTAAAGCAAACCAGTTTGGTTAAACTGAAGCACGGGAGTTTGGTCGCGAGCGCGGCTATTCAAAACTAATTCCGTGTTAACCAGCGTAAGGCTTTGTTGATGCCAAGTTTGTTGTTACATCCGTAGCACGATTTCTCCGCGATCACTTCGTTCGCTGGGATTTTAACGTCGCAGATATAGAATTTTCACTTTTTTTTCTCTCCTAATTGATTCGTATCTCAAGACGGTGACATCTGTTTCAGTTTAATTTTAGAATAACAGCCCGAAAATCTCGGAGAAATACTGTCATGTTGGCGAACGCAAGGTGCACATAGAAACGAAACTTAAAAAGTTGTTTTTCAAATTACATCGTTGACCTGTCGAACAGCAGTTGGAGTCCTTCTTTCGAAACTTTGCGTGATTTGAAACTAATTCAAAATTTTGTGTTGTTGCTTAAATCAAACAATTTTGCACGTAAGCAAATGCTTCTCGTTCTTTCAGATCAAATTTTGACAATCCACATGTGACGCTAATGTGAAATACTAGATTTTGTTGAGCTAACGACAACTTGTGCCACCTTGAATATTTGTGAACACATGATTAAATTGGTGGTACGCAAAACACAGCGTTTAACGTTGATGCTTAGCGTAAATTAACTATCATATTCTTTGCGACCGATTATTGCAATAAAAAACTGCAATTTCTTCCGCACGGTCAGTTTGAAAAAGACCTTTAAACTTTTAGACGCAAATTATATTCAGTTAACTGGTTGTTGCGTCTCATGGCACGTTTTTGTAAACTTCATTTTAATATTTTGAAAAGCAAACACACTCTTGCAGGTTCATTTTTGCCTCGAGCTAGTTTCGAAATTGTACGATTTGACCATATCTATTGACGTGATTCACACGGCTGGAATTGAGCTGAAGACACAGTTGGAAAGTTTTGAGCCCCGCGGCCGAATTTGTTTTTCGGACCGTCCGTCTCGTATAATAACTTTTAATCGAAGTGCATTCCGTGCTGTACTCATTTGGGACGCTAGAAAGACTGATTATTATTATTATTATTACAATTCATTCGTAAGGAAAGTTACTTCAATTTTTTTTTGCGTTGTTTTTTACTATACAGACCCAGCGCAAAATGCATTGATCACAAGTAAATGTTTAAATTTTTCAAAATGCGAAATCCT